CATTCTCCAAATCTGAAAATTTCAAATCTCTACACTTCCACTTCGTCAATCGTCTGGTCTTCACTTCCAAAGTTCCAGACTCTAGTTCGTCGGCAGTTCCAGTCTTCCACACCGTGACTCCATCCATAGTTCGTCAGTTTCCCACTGTGAGCTACTGAGTAAAGCTGACTCCATCCACTTTCCAGTCACCGTGAGCTACTCCATCCACATCGTGAGCTATGTTCTTCGTTCACCAACACCTAGCACTCCAGCAGACTCCACCGTGAGGCGTGAGTAGACCCACCCTGAAGAGACTCCACCGTGAGGCGTAAGCAGACCCACGATGAGTACTAAGCAGACTCTTGATTAGAACTTTGTTTGTTTTGTTGAACTCTGTGATTTCAATTTGAAGACACTTTGTGTTCAAAATTAACTATGTTTTAATTGTTTATTAGTGTGGATTTGTTAGATTGGAGAAAGAATATATATTTGAAAATGTTTTAATTTGATAGCGATAAGTTGAACTCTATGATTTTGAAGACAGTTTGTGTTCAAAATTTGCTATTTTAATTGTTTATCTGTGTGGATTTGTTAGATTGGAGAAAGAATATATATTTGAAAATGTTTTAATTTGATAGCGATAAGTTGAACTCTGTGATTTGAAGCCAGTTTGTGTTCAAAATTTGCTGTTTTAATTGTTTATTTGTGTAGATTTGTTAGATTGGAGAAAGAATATATATTTGAAAATGTTTTAATTTGGTAGCGACAAGTTGAACTCTGTGACAATGTGATTTGATCATTTGAAGACAATTTTTATTGTCATTTTCTTAATTGTGTGGATTCAAATCAATTAGTTTAGTGATAAGTTGAACTCTGTGATTTGAAGACAGTTCGTGTTCAAAATTAACTGTGTTTATTTGTGTGGATATGTTAGATTGGAGAAAGAATATATATTTGAAAATGATTTTTTTTTTTTTTTTTTGTAACCTTTGAAGTCATGATGTGTACGTTAATGTTTGATAAAATACTCTAGCTTATTCACCCATTGGATTTTTATAAAATCTTTAGCATATATGCAAATAATAATTTGGGCACAAACATTGATTAACATATTAAATTTTGTTTACAAACATTTCTTAATAGAGATAATTTTCTCTTCTTGAAGGCAGCACAAATAGTCAGATATTGATAAAATACCCAAACAGTCAAACTAATGCTAGCTCTTGCTATTTTCAATTATGAAAGTACACTCACTTGACAATCATAGTAGTTCAAAAACATAGTCTGCAATGTTTTCTTCCACCAAAACTTGGATCAGTTTGCCCAGAGCACCTACCGAGGACAAAAAATGGAAGATCAAATCTAATGTGTTGATTTGGACTTGGCTGTCAGACGAAAGCAGTGGGCCTTTGATGGCCTTAGCAAATAAAACATTCAAGGAAGGACGACCTTCTCCATCTTCTGTTATTTTCATGGAGTTATCTCCCTCATCGAAACTCATGCTACATATGTCATTGGCATATGCATTTACGAAAAATCCTTTCTCAGCCAGGATCATCGAAGTGCTGGGCAAATATAATTGAAAAATGTTCATTGTGAGAAGACAACATTGATGATACTATGGAGATGAGTATCTAGATGACTGTATATATCCATCCTATGTCTCTTGAATTCAGCATAATTTTCTGAGAGTTCTAGACATTTTATGATTGTTTGGGGATATTTCCTAGGCAACTCATGGAGTGGTTATCCTAAAACACTTGCTTATGGACAAAATTATGCAATGTTTAAGTTTGGAAGGTTAAATATTGATTACAGATGCTACAGGGAACTTCATCTTCCCAGTGAAGTAATGGTGGCATACTACAATCATGTTTACATGTGATTAATACAGTTTTTGCCTCTGCATGCCACTATTTGTTACTTCTAGTAAAGAGTTGAAATGAAGAACTTAACTAGAAATATCTCTTACCATCGAACTTTGAATCTTGAACTCCTCCAACAGAAAAATCACAAAAAGATATACAACTATCTCTTGTCCACCTAGACTTTTGTTGTAATCTTAAAAACACCCATATGATTCTAAAATTATCTATGACTTTTTCTATAATTATTATTACTGACCTTTTCTAAGGTTTGCTTAAATATCGCTAAACTCCTCCTAAAGACTAAAACTGTTGGGAGTTCAAAAATAATTTCAAAACCATAAGTGCGTATTCGGGATTACACCCTGGGTTAGTAAAGGTCAAAAGATAACATTGCCAAGTAGAATAAATAGAATTTGCAACAAAGGAAGAAAAAAAAAAAAAAAAAGGCCTTATAGAATGTGACAAACCTATAAAGTTGAGGTGAATGTCATCATCTCGAGCTTTCATCAAAGCCTCCAATGAAAGATGCAAGAGCTTAGGATAGTGAGCAAAAAGAACATCAGCTCCGTCACTATTCATGGATTCGCATTGGAGGATGGATACTTTATACAAAACAAAAAGGATATCTCCACTGATTTCCTCACTGTGCTTGGAGAAACAAATAGGTCTTAGCTTACAATAGGGTAGATGCATTCAAGGTAAATCTTATTACCTTGGCAAATGAAGGCCTGCAATAAGATTGGAGATGAAGGCATCTCTGTTTTTAAGGAGGACATAGGAATTATTTGTTCAACTATTTAAGAGAACCCCAAAGCAGTGAAGCTACACTTACAGAGACCACAAAATGAAAAGGATTAATAAAGAATTGTGAAGTCTTCAAGAACATTACTAGAAGATGAAAACCTTGCTTTAAACAAATAAGCAACTGCTTTTTTTTTTTTTTTTTAATTGTCATACAATTACTCTAAGCATTGCATCCTTGTATATTCCTAAGCTTAGACTACATGTAAAGATAATTAAGTTCTAACTGATGTCCTCATGTGTCTTTAAACTTCTGAGGTTCATTTTCCTAAGGCCATTCAAAATATTTAATCAGCATAAAAAAACTGTCATCATAAGGGCTTACAGTATATAAGGCTTAAGAATTATGTTTCTCTCAACTATACATATTCTGCCAAACAGAACAGATAGAAATCACGGTATTTTAGAAAGTAGTTTTGGTGCTCTCTACGTTGATTGGGAAGAAGGTTGAGTTGTGTATTTAATTCATATCGTAACAATTATATGACCAAATAAGCAACTAAAGCTTCTGCTCTCAAAGAAGAAAATCAAGTTTGACTGAATCAACCTATTCTACAACAAAACTAATTATGCTTTGCTAGCTAGCTGGAAAAATTCAGCAAAATAAGAATTAATATACAGTAAATTATAGTTTCTGAATTTTCTCAGCAACCAAACACAAACTCATACGATAATGAACCATATAAAGCTGCCTTCGACTCCGGGCCAAGACACCAGAAGAGAGTTTATCGGCGATAAGTGAGACAAACTCGGCAAAAATATCAGAATCGCTTGAGGTGCATAGAGTGGTAATTACATCGATAATTTGGCACGCAATAGGTGTTTCTCAATTGTGTGAAAGCTAATTATTGTTTCAAGTAATGAGGAACAAAATTGAAATATACCTAGAATAAAAAAAACTTTTAGATATATTATTCAAACACTAAATCTTTTCTCTATAATTTTTAATTTAATGGAAATTGCATAAGTCTTTGTGCATGTGAACTGCATTAGCATGTTCCCATGACAATACAAATGATTTTAACAGTACTTCACTTTTTCGATATTTCATTTTTCTTTTTATTTGATTTCTATATTTCTAGTACCATTAAGTTCTTTAAATTCTAGTCTCATCACCAGGATAACACACTTGGTCAAAATTGACATTTTTTGTTCTATTAAACTATATAGCTGTACAGACGCAATAAAAAAAAGTCCATTAAATAGCACCAAGATGTAGATTCAAGTGACAGACACCAGAATCTAAAGATTACCTTATAAGTACAGATGTTGAATCAAGTGAACTATAACAGAGACCCATGTTGCCAGATCGACAAGATTTATTCCACTTGTTTTAAACCTACTTATACCATCTGCCTTGCTCTAAAAGACACAAGAGTTTAATGCAGAAAACATAGATCACAATGAAATGAAACAAAACTCATGAAAAAAACAAAGATATTTAGGTACTCTGTCTTTGTTGCATGTCAATAGATTCTACTCGTACATCAAAGTTAATGAAGCAGATATAATGAGCAAAACTACACAGAATATCAGATTACTTAGCTGGTAAAGAGTATTCTAATAGATAGACACAGATTAATATGCCTTTAAGAGAAACACTTTATGCAAATATATAACTCATAATTTAAAGAAAAACTACTCATTTTTAAATTGCAGCAGTTATTACCTTGCATCGAGATTCAACAACACAAGTGAAAACACTATGTGAGCGTGAGCTTTCTGCATTTACTAGTTGCACCTGTCCTCCTGTTTGACAATTCCTGCATCATAAAAACACTGATCATAAGTTTAATACAAGAAAAATTAACAAATCAAACATATTAAAATTAGATATTGAGGGGAGACAGGAATGTTTCAAGTGAATAATCCAATTTATTTTCCCTAAAATAACTACTAACTATGATCCAGAAGCAGTAGATAAAAACAAAACAAAAAGAATTTCATGGATGACAATTCTCTACATGAACCTCATCAATTAGCTAAACTTCCAGATATGAGGTTAGAACTTACTGTAAAGCCTTACACCATCAGCAATAATCCTTAAAATGCGTCAGTCCAGTAAGCAAATATACATCAATTTGAATCCCCTTAAAGAAGTAAAACCGGTATANGTTTTGTTGTTGCATGTCAATAGATTCTACTCTTCAAGTACTCTGTTGTTGTTGCATGTCAATAGATTCTACTCTTACGCCAAAGTTAATGAAGCAGATATAATGAGTAAAACTGCACAAAATATCAGATTGCTTAGCTAGTAAAGAGTATTCTAATAGATAGACACAGATTAATATGCCTTTAAGAGAAACACTTTATGCAATATGTAACTCATACTTTAAAGAAACACTATGTGAGCGTGAGCTTTCTGCATTTATACTAGTTGCACCTGTCCGCCTGTTTGACAATCCCTGAATCATAAAAACACTGATCATAAATTTAATGCAAGAAAAATTAACAAATCAAACATATTAAAATCAGATATTGAGGGGAGACAGGAATGTTACAAGTGAATAATCCAATTTATTTTCCCCAAAATAACTACTAACTATGATCTATAAGTTGTAGATAAAAACAAAACAAAAAGAATTTCATGGATGACAATTCTCTACATGAACCTCATCAATTAGCTAAACTCGAGATATGAGGTGAGAACTTAAGGTAAAGCCTTACACCATTAGCAATAATCCTTAAAATGCTTCAGTCCGGTAAGCAAATATACATCAATTTGAATCCCCTTAAAGAAGTAAAACTAGTATACTTCTGGTAAAAAAACAATTTTAGTAAAACATTTAGTGTTTGTTCAATCTTTATTACAATTTATTTATTGATTATTCGGAAAAGCTTAGACTTCCATATAAATCTTTCACTATTATATATCCCCTGTAAAGAAGTAAGACCGGCATACTTCTGGTAAAAAACAATTTCAGTAAAACATTTAATGTTTTGTCAATCTTTATTACAATTTATTTATTGATTATTTAGAAAAGTTTAGACTTCCATATAAATCCTTCACTATTATATATGAACTGAAAGAAAAATTAAAAAAAACTCTCAAGTCACCTTAACTCTTTTGTCTGGTCAGTTCTTTGTTTCCTTTTGAGTCATTTGGGAACTAGGATACAAGGAGAAGATTCAAAATCATAGAAGAACATGAACGATTTCCTATGTATAAGAATCACCAATGTGTACATTTGATACATATTCTTATATTTACTTCCTTCTTTGTCATCCAAAAAGAAACTTATTTTTGTTACTGCCATATCTTTAACTTTCTATTTCCTAAACCATGGTACTGTATTCGCCAAAAACACCTACTTCTTTTATGTTCAAACACTTAATAAATTTGTAGTGTACTCTATTCACATGTAGAAAAAAGAAAAAGAAAAACATATAGAGTTGCCAAGCATTACATGCAGCAAACCCTTAAAATAAATTCAAGCACCAGGAAAGATTCCTATATGTTGGGTATACCTATTAGGTCATAGTCAATGTAACATGGATTAAATTGTCAAGCAAAGAAACACTATAACGACAAGGAAAATGAATATATACACGTTCGTACGAGCCAAGGAATCGTACAACATTTCTTTTATAGGCATTCTCTAGAAAGTCTCAAATGCTAGGAACCCATCTTAAGCATCCTCACTATGCATTCCAAGAAGAAAAAATGAAGCAAACCTTTATCAGTAGTTGTGTAACATCCTTCATTGTGCATATATACTCCTCTGTCAAATTTTCAACATAAACACCAGATTTGACATCTTCTCTTATCTAGAAAGAGAAGCAAAACAGGGTCAAGGAAAACTGAATTTATGTAGGTCTTTTATCGGATGTGGGTGCTTCTATTACCTGAAGATTTCTTTGGCTTGGATCCAACAAATCTGTGATTTGTTCATTGTAAATCTGCAATAATATGTGGATATATTAGGACATGCAACATTAAATTTCACAAGAGCAAAAGGGATACTGTCTAATCACAAAATGATTTGTTCATTGTAAATCTGCAATAATATGTGGATATATTAGGACATGCAACATTAAATTTCACAAGAGCAAAAGGGTTACTATCTAGTCACAAAACCTAAAGAAAAGAACAACGACATTTCTCTCTCTCTTCTAATACAAAACAAAAGAAAGAAACTTAACAATTTCTCACTTTTCCACTCAGTAAAAAAACAGAAGCTGTAAAATTTACATTTTCTCAAGCTTGAGTCACTTTTTTCCCCAAATTCTGTCAAAATACAAAAAACATAATATCAAAGAACCACTGAAAAGAAGAAGATGGAAACAATTACTTGAACACCCGACAACCATTACGTTCTCGGGATGTGTATGAGTGGCGAGCTTGCGCTTCAGTGGGTTGGACGGGCGTGGGGGAAGCGGACTCTTAATCTTGGAAGATGCCGGAGAAGGCGGAAGAAGTGAGTTCGTCTTTTTGCTTCTACAATGACTTTAATTTTGAATTAGGGTTTGGAGATGGCGACTCACTTGAGTGGGTCTCTCTGAAGATTGTGTTTCTTGGCTGCATGAAGTGGTTTATTCCGATCAGTAAACTACAAAGAGAGAAGAGAGAAGAGAGAAGAGAGAAGAGAGAGTAAGGTTTGTTAATTTGGGCAAGATTACTGAGATCGAGGGCATTGGAGACAAGAAGAGGAGAGGAGAAAGAAATGTAGCCGTTAAGAGTAGAGAGGGGTAAACTTCTGAATTTTGTTGAGTTTCACATTGTGGGGAATTTATACCCAGAAAGTGGAGAAAATTTAGCTGCCTGGCCATCCCAAGTTTCGATTTAAGAAAATGGCCTTGAAAATGTTTTTCATTTTTCTTTTTAATTTAGGGAAGATAACGTAACATAGTTAGGATTAATTAAACACGTAAAATGGGTTAAAATGAAAAGATTAAAACATATGTGATAATGAAAGTTTTTAAAATTTGAAATTTACAAAACAAGCCCCACATATTCATTAGGGCAAAAAACGATTTCTTGAACCAAAGGGAGGCACTACGATTTCCAATCGAACCTGCAAATTTCCACACCATATTCAATTCTAAAATCAATTTCTTGAACCCTAAACATAATACAGTTGCGATTTCTAACGATAAGTCACATTTTCGATCGATTTCTTGAACCCTAAACAGAATCTATGTGATTTCCAACGATACAGCCCACATTTTCGATTGAAACTGCAAATTTTGACACCAAATTCAATCCAAAACCATGGCTGACACTCACAATGAGGAGAAAAACCCAACGCCACTTCGAATCCTAGATTCTGGTGGCGCAAGAAGTTTAATGGCTGCTCCGGTGGATCATCCGATCAGTGAAGGTGGTCCATAGGCAGAGGAGACGACGGCGGCACAACAAGAGAGAGAAGAATGCAAAACAGTTCTGAAGAGGAGGAGTCAGGCGAGAATACAGGCAAGGAGGAGAAGTCCAGCGAGAATTAAGGCCAGGAGGAGTCTTCCGAGGATTCAGGCAACGAGGATGAAGCCGACGAGAATGCAGTCTATGAGGAGGCCGGCAAAGAAAGGGTACGTATTTGTTTTGGGAGTATTGCTCTGTACTGTCGCTTAAGCGACCATTTATATCTCTTGAGCGATTAATCTCTTTTACTCATGGCCGCTTAAGCGATACAAAGGATTGCTTAAGCAATCTTAGATCTGGGTAGAATCATTTGCCCAGATCTAAGATCGCTTAAGCGATTGATTCAGTTTCCTCTTAGTCGTTTAAGCGATTTCAAATCGCTTAAGCGATCTTGTCCAAGGCAAAATCATCTTAGATATAAGATCACTTAAGCGATCTTTTGTATCGCTTAAGAGATTCTTTCAGTTTACTCTTGGTCGCTTAAGCGATTTCAGATCGCTTAAGAGATCTTGTACGAGGCAAAGTCAAGATCTCTTAAGTGATCCAAAATCGCTTAAGCGACCGCAGAGGTCATTTTTTTTTGTTGATATTTTCTTTATTAGTTGTTTTGGTTTATTTTTGTTGCTGACATTTTGTTTATATCGATTGTGCAGATTGTGCAGACTGTAAACTATAGAGACTACAAGTTGGAGCTTGTAAGCAATAAAGTACCCTACTTCCCTGCAAGGGTGACGGTCAGGTCGAGTTGGGATGTTTTTGATAGAATAAAGGAGATTTTAGCTGGAATGAGGCATGGTACAAGAGATTTCGAAGATACTTGTTTTGGTCAGTTTTTAAGAATCGGAACAAATTGGAAAAAGGCGTTATGGGTGCAGGGAGTGCATTACATGTTGCTGAACTCAGTAAAATGCAATAAAAAAAAAGAAATGTGGTTCGTGGTGGACGGAAAGCCACTATGTTTTGGGATGATGGAATATGCGTTGGTGACGGGCTTACGATGTGGGGAAGTGCCAGATAAGGCAGAGGCAGACGCAATAAGGAAGAGTCTGAGAGCCATAAGGTTTTGTAAGAAGGTTTTGCAGGGGGCAAAGTCTATTACAGAATAGGTTTTAGAGAAGAGGCTACAAACAGTTCGGTTTAATGATGGAGAGAAGATAAAAGTGTGCTTGGTATTGTTTTTACATTTGATCTTTTTGGCTGGTGACTCAACAAAAGTTGTTGAGAAAGATTGGTTGTTGTCTGTAACTAACTTGGAGTTCTTTAATTCTTATCCGTGGGAACGGATATCATTTGAGTGAACCATCAACAGCCTAAAAAAACCAGACATGGCGTTAAAGTAGTCCTAATGGGTCGGGAAGGATAAACGAAGCACGTACAATTTGTTTGGCTTCCCATGGGCAATGCAGGTAAATATTAATAGCTTTTTGTTATATTTTTTGTAATATATGTGTTTGAATTATGATATGGACTATTTTTTTACAATGTAGGCTTGGATGTATAAGGCCATCCCTGTCTTCGCTAAGGCGGGGGGGAGGAGCAACAGTTTAGATGTGCAATAGTAATTTCCTAGGATGTTGCAGTGGCATGTGGAGAGATGTATCCATTGGGATCACGACCAAATACACATGGAGATTGAAGCGGGTAGGGTAAGATTAAAGGATTAAGCTTTTGAATATGCAATTGCTTTAAAATGTCTCTTCAATCTGATTGATTTTGTTTCTTATTGTAGGGAGTCATCCAACCCTTTCTCATCACTACTGGGGATGAAGCGGAAGAGGACTATGTCACATCTTTCAAAGCACTGGAAGGTGAAAGGGATGAACGGATAGACTACTTGATGCGAGACCTAAAAGGGGTCACGCATGTGACGGCAGTTGCAGGGTCACTGCTTGACAACGTGGTTGATACCAAGGATGATGAAGCTCCAATCGGGGGGAGGCCCAAGGAGGAGGAGGGGAAGAGGGAGGAAGAGGTTCGTATGCCTCAGCAAACTGGTACAACAAGTACCACTTTGCTGAGACATCGGCGTCGGGAGAATGAGGTGGTTGACCTCATAAACAGCCTGTTTGAGAGTTTTACAACAGGCGTTTATGACAGGTTTGACAAGATGGAAGAGCACATGAAAAGGGTGGAGGAGAAAGTGGATAAGCTGGCAGAGAAAGTTGGTACAGTGGAGGAGAAAGTTGGTAGAGAATTAAAGGCGGTTGAAGTGCAAATTGGGTTGAAAAGAGAGAACCGAAAGAGCAAGTTTGTCAAATCGCCTTACATGGCAGTGACATAAGTAAAGAAGAGGAAAATTAAGAAACAAATGGAGGAAGAACCAAAAATTGAGGAGGTTAAGGAGGTTGGTGGAGGAAGTGGGGCAGTGATAATGGAGGAGGGCTAGGTGAGAGGTGAAGGAAGAGTGGATGTAAAAATGGAGGAAGGGGGAGGAAGTGGGCAAGCGAAAATGGACTCAAATGTTGATTTGTATAGGCCAATAGAGGAAAAGAAAAAACTTTTTTATGCCTATTACAATGAATCAGGAAGTAATGCCCATATAAAGTGTAAGACAGGGGATTATCCTTGGGAATGGTTTGAAAAGTTGTTGACGATGGGCCGTGGCTTGAGGACTCGGTGAGTTATTTTCGCTTAATTTTCCTTATTTTTGCCTATGTTTTCCATACTTATCTTGTTGTTTTTATTTGATGTAGCAGATCGATAAGATATTGGTACTGATGAGGCTACGACAAACTAGTGATGGTGATCTATTGTATCCCATTGTGCCATCACCGATGTGGTGTTTGGCCAAACGCTTGTTTCGACATATCGCACTTTAATTAAAAATATCGTTGCTAGAGGTGCAGCAAAAGGAGCAGCAAAGCGAAAAAGATTGGCCCCAGAACAGTTGAATTGCATCCCTGATGATTTCAAGTTTGATGACAGGATTATGCAGTATGTACGGGGGGAAAAGCCCAAATATGGCCACGGTTAGGCCGTTGTTAAAAGAGTCTATTGCATCATCCTCGTCAAACAGATGCACTGGATAGTAGTCGTCGCGTATCTAGGGAAGGGGTTGCTGAAGATCCTTGACTGCAACCCAACTATTTGTCGAGACAAGCAGTTGGAGGTCGAGTTGGAGCCATTGTCCAGGTTGTTCCCACGGCTGTTGCGTGATATCGGGATGTTTGGGCACTTGGGTGATCAAGTACTAACTGGAAAGTGGCCACTTAACCGCTCCACCATCCCAATAAATGAGTCAAGGTAAATTTTGTATAAAACTAACTTACATAATACAATTGTTCTATAAGTTTATTCTAATGCTAATGTTTTCTTCCTATTGTAGTGCTGAATGTGGGGTATATACCCTTAAATTTATTCAGTTCGACATGACCAACACCCGATGGATGGCTTGAATGACGAAATAATGAGAGACTGTCAAGAGCGCTGGGCTGTCGACTGCTTCCATGGGCAGGTGGATCCGTTTTGAGTAACCAGAACCCAATCAAAAGGTATGAAAGTTGGACTTTGAATTTTGTAGTTTATGTGATGTCGACATTGATACTTGGGTTATAGTGCTGATGTTGCAGGTGTCATGCTTATATGGAGCTTTACCGAAAGAGACGGACTGAGTGAACTTCTCACCTACCCACTCTGTAACTTTTTTATATGTTTTTTTTAATTTACAAAAGTTGACGTGTCTGTAGGTGTGTGCCAGATAATTTTGCAGGTTCCTGGCAAACAATGAGATGAAACTTCTCAAAGGCTGGTTGGTAAGAGGAGACATCTACAATAAAGGCTGCTGGGAAGGCATGGTACCAAACATTGATCTCAGACAGGTTGTTGGCAAACAAAATTTGAAAACTTCTCAAAGGTTGGTTGGCAGGAGGAGGCATCTGCAATAAAGGCATTGTGCAAAGGTGTTAGTGACTTTAAACTCTTTGGCATAAGTAAATTAAAGCAGTGTATAAGAAATTCTCAAGTCCAGATCATTGTGCTGTGGCTCTTCTTGCAGTAGC